GGAATTGGAGTTGAAAAGGATGAACGTAAGGCATTCATTTATTATCAAAAATCTGCAGATATGGGACATGCTAGTGGAATACGTGCAATTGGTGTTTGTTATGAAAACGGAATTGGAGTTGAAAAGGATGAACGTAAGGCATTCATTTATTATCAAAAATCTGCAGAGATGGGGGATGCTGATGGAACATTTAATGTTGGATATTGTTATCAAAATGGAATAGGAGTTGAAAAGGATGAACGTAAGGCATTTATTTATTACAAAAAATCTGCAGAGATGGGTAATGCTAAAGGAACATGTAATGTTGGAAATTGTTATGAAGAAGGAATTGGAGTTGAAAAGGATGAACGTAAGGCATTTATTTATTATCATAAATCTGCAAAGATGGGGGATGCTGAAGGAACATTTAATGTTGGATATTGTTATGAAAATGGAATTGGAGTTGAAAAGGATGAATATAAAGCGTTTGAATATATTCTAAAGAGTTCTAAAGAAGGGAATCTTTGTGCTATGCATATTATTGGTTATTGTTATGAAAACGGAATTGGCGTAGACAAGGACGAAGATTTAGCTTTCGAATGGTATTTGAAATCTGCTGGTATTAAACATGTATGTGTTGATGAAAAGGACTATTTTCATTGGGTATCATATGAAAAATTTACAAATATTGAAGAAATAGGTAAGGGAGGGTTCTCTATAGTATATAAAACGTCTTTTGAGGCATTCGAGGAAGTTGCGATCAAGATAGTAAAAAATTCGCATAAAGATGAAAAACTTTTCTTAAACGAGGTAATTTTTTTTTAAATAGTTGAGTTTAATTTAAACGTATAGCTGTATATCAGATATTAACATGTATTTTTTTATTTTAGTTGAAAGCCTGTCATAAATTTAATAAATATATTGGTATATCAAAAGATAAAGATACTGGTGATTATATTCTAGTGTTAAATTACGCTAAATACGGATCATTACGTGATAATCTTAGTAATGTATTTAAATTTGATTGGGAGATTAAATTATGTATTTTGTTTGATATTATTTCTGATCTTGAACGTATTCACGACGAAAGATTTATACATCGAGATTTACATTCAGGAAATATTTTATTAGAGGATGGATATAATGCTTATATTGCTGATTTGGGTTTATCAATACCATTTGATAAAGTGAGAAAAGATAATATTTATGGCGTTTTACCATACGTCGCACCAGAAGTCTTGCGAGGAGAACCATATTCTTTTGCTTCAGATATTTACGCGTTTGGTATTATTATGTCCGAGATATCTTTAGGACAAAGACCATTCGATGGATATGATTTTGATGTTAATCTTGCAATAGCAATTTGTAATGGATCGCGACCTGGATTCGCAAACGGTACCCCCGAATGTTATGCTAAATTGGCAATGAGATGTATGGATCTCGATCCTAAAAAGCGACCCTACGTTAAGGATGTTTGTGAAATAATTAGTGAATGGAATGATAACTTATGTGATCTAAACAATAATGAAATTAAACAGCAATTCTTGGAGGCTGATGAAAAGATCAAAGAATCGCCAATTGTAGAAAAGAGGCATCCAAATGATTCTTATACTTCAAAACTTATTGACGTACAAGTAATTGTTAACAAATTAAATGATTTTGTTCCAAGTAAAAAAGTCAAATATGACTTTGACGATTAATCTATCTAGAATTCCAGTTTTAACTAATTATTAGATGTAGTAGATGTAGTAGGCAGCGCAATTACGACATGACGTTATCTTACACTATAGATAACATGGATTTTAATAAATGAATTAATAATACATTTTATTAATGATAACACCTATACTGCAAGTAAAACCTTAATCCATGATGGAAAAAAGTGACTGGTCATATGCCATAGATAGTGTTCTGACCAATTACATGAATGTTGCAAAGGAAAATTCAGTTTTTTAAGGTTTAAACAAAAATTTCTTGGTAGTTCTGTAGTTACCTATCTAAAACTAAATAAAGCATTACGAAATACCCCAAAATTTGAAAATTTTAACCACCGATTGTGAATCATTTAATTAACTTCACATATATGTAATTATTCTGATCTAACAATAATATACTTTTTAATTTTTCTGTTATCCATAAAATACCGTCAAGTTTGCTGACTAACATTGCAAGTTATTAAATTGTACGTTCGCACATACCTATGTAATGATACATTTAAAATGGGTTGGTTATCTGAATTGTACAACAATTTAAAATGAGTTGTGCTAATGGGAAAAATGGGTTAGACGTATGGGACGCATTGTTCGGTTGTTATTATAGAACGGAGTGCCAATGATTTTTTTTAAGAGGTTCAATCTTAAAAGAATAAATAATAAATTTTGTCTCAAACTTAAATTTGGGGATCAAAAATTAGTTAACTTTGACAAATGTGCCGTAATGGTTAAAAAACTTTTCATCAAATGAGTGCGTGAGAATAAAAACCTGGAACTGATTATAATGATTTACTATGATCAGTTACAGGTTTTCATTCTCACGCACTCAAATTTAAATTGATCTCAAGAAATCTTTATTCAAATTTTAAAAAAATTTTAATAAAATAGCTATCATAATGGAATTTATTTAGTATTCAGCGGAGGTGAAATTCACCATGATATGTTTTTAGTTATTATTATGAGTGTCGCTAAAAGAAAACATACACATTTAAATAAATGTGTATGTTTTCTTTTAGCGACACTCATATGATCTATAGAAAATTTTACCACAAATTTTAAGAGGTTAGGGGTTTTTTTTAAGGTGCTAGACATTTTTACTTAGTATACCAAATAATTATCAAAGCCTTTTTGAGAAACAACATGCCCGGTAAAATTCACCTTTGATGAACGTTAAAATCGTCCAAAAGATTTTTTTTAATGATTTTAAATACGTAGTTATTAAAATATTCTTATTTAAAGTTAGAAAAAATCAAAATTAAAATAAAAAAGCTTTTATCAATCGCATATAGTTATCAAAATATCTTCAAAGTTAGAAAAATAATTTGATATATACATAATTAGTTACTATTTTGGTGTTAACAAATAGAATGTTTTGGTTCATAAATAAAATAAAAGGCTAAATATATATTTTTTCAATAATTTAATACAATTAATTACAAAAAAATTATAATATAATAAGCATTGAATTTACGTACAATAGAACAATAGAATGCCAACACTTAATATGTGATTATATAGTTAAGTTTCAAAGCAATAAATCGTGTAACAAGGCATAATTAAAGTCATTCGGTATATCTAAAACCTTCAAAATTTTATATTATTTCTATCTAAAATAGTTTTAATACTGTACGGGATCAACTTAGTTACACAAAACGTATTTGAATCACCCAACGACAGCACATGTCAACGTTTATGAATATTATTGGTCTGAAAATGATTTACGACACATGACCAGTTACTTTTTTAGGGTTTCAGCAAAATTCGACAATTAAAAAACAAAAAGATGCAAAAAGAAAAAGGTCTACATAGCATAATATATGATAAATATACAGTAAACTCTGTCCTATTCGAAACAAAATGCTAATCTGATATTTTCGTTTATCTCCACTATATAGCATGCAAGTTTATAGCATACAGATTCCTTACTATATGCGGACAAAAGAGGTAGAGTCATGCTCGAATTTAATAATATTCCATCTTAGTGAGGGATCCACGAATACCTGTAACTATTTGTCTAGACACAGAACAAACTTAATTTGTAAAGACGTACAAGTATGTGACCATAATCGGAATGTACGTACGTACGTGTAATCTGCAAAGGTAACGGTAATCAAAAAATTTTTTGTCCATTGTTTTATTTTGTATAAATAAAGTTGGGGTATAAGAACGTACGTACGTACGTACGTACGTACACACGTACTTTGTAAAAAGAAAAAAAATACATATTATACTTTATTTAAACAATTTTTTTTATTCAATAAATAATTTTCAAATTTTTTTAGTCAAGTTAAAAATTCATTACAGTATGACTGATAAAACTAAAAAAGTAAAGGTTACGATTGAAACTGCACCCGAGTATTTAGACAAAATAATGAATGCTATTAATTCAGTAAAATCAAATTCTGTTATTAGAATAATCGGTGAAACACTTAAACCGATGATACCAATGCTAGAATCAGCATTAGCATTAATAGATGAAATAACACAAATATTTGAAAAAGCTCAATGTAATAAAAATATTTGTAGAATATTAAAAGATCGTATTATAGCTGCAGAAGCTGTAATAAAACTTTTACAGCAAAGAATAGAAAAGGGTGAAAAACTTGATAAAGTTTATCAACAAACTTTTTTAAGATTCAAAAATTCATTAGAAAATATTAAAAACTACACTGAAGAAGTTTCACAAATTCAAGGCATTAAACGATATCTTAATGTTCATGAAATTAAGGATAAATTTATTCAATTAACCAGTGAATATGATACTTGTATAAAAGATTTAAACTTTACGATGAATGTTTCATATGAAGAACAAAGAAGAATAGATCAAAAATGTTTAGAAACAGACATTAATCTAATGAAAGAGGTACGTTTTCATAGCATGAATTCACTGATACTTATGGGTATTCGATTGTTACTAAGAAATTTTCTTTCGTTTAATTAATAGTTTTTAGAAAAAATTCAAACAATATTTGATGAAAATTTTAAACTCCTTTCACAAGAAGTGAACGTTCGAAATCCAGAACTTAAAGGTTATAAATACAATCCAGGTATAAAAGTCCATGAAATTGATCCGGCTATGATAAAAAACCCTGCTTTGGGCAGTGAATCAGATAGCCGAGGTAAATTAAAGAAAGTAGTAAAAAGAATAATTAAAGATGGAGTAGAAATTGCGTGTAAAAAAATTGATATCCCCACTGAAATAGCAGCTAGCGAAGAATACCAAATGAGTCTCCGTTATTTACCTATATTAGAAAAGTTAGGTGAAAGTACAAATATTCTTAAATTTTACGGATTATCAAAATTAGATAATAGGGATGTTATGGTGTTTGAATGGGCAGAATTAGGAAGTTTAAAAGAAGTTTATGAAAAAAGTTCTATTTCTTGGCAGACGAAAGCAAATATTGCTTATGGTATCTGTAGTGGAATTGTATTTTTACAAGCTCTCAAAATTTTTCATCATGATCTTCGGTGTCAAAATATAATGGTGAGTAATACATTATCTGTGTTCATAAAGATAAAATGTATATTCATATTATTTTTATATTTGATGAGTCGATAGGTTACACGTTCATTTGAACCGAAAATATCAAATTTTAAATATTCAAGAGGGCACGATCAATTTTCAACAGATATTGGAAATAAATATTTAGACCTTCTTAACTGGATGGCTCCAGAAAAGATGCAAAAATACAAAATAATTGTAAGTGGGAAATCTCCAAAAACAGATGCTGAATTATTCCCATATACACAAAAATGTGAAATATTTAGGTAACTATAAACTTTTTTTTTAATTTTACCGTAATAATTATCGCTAATTCGCCTTATATGTGTAGCTTTGGAATGTTGTTATGGGAATTGACTTATCAAATGATTCCTTACAAAGAGGATAGTATGCAAACCATTATTGAAAATGTCACAGCTGGTAAAAGAGAAAAATGCAAAATTGATCCGGATTTAGATTCGGAAAATGATTTGATTCAAAAAAATCTCATAGTTATCATCGAAAAAGGTATGCTTATTGAGATTAATTTTACCCAATTTTGGAAAATTAATAGATATTGACATGTTTGCTTAACGTTAAATAAAGCATGGGAACACAATCCAGATGTAAGAACGAGTCTTGAACAACTTTATATAGATGTATCAAACTTGTCTAAAAAAGTCATTCCGGGTAAAGATCCTGCCCTTTTAACCATAAACAAACTTGATGGCTCCCATGAGGATTCAACCAATGAAGAATCAGAATTCAATGATCTTTATATCACTGATTATTCAGGTTTTGAATTTGAACAAATTCCATTAGTTGAAGAAGGTATAAAATTACATAACACGAAAAATAAAGAAAATAGAAAAAAGGCCTGGGAGTGTTTTAAAGCTAATGCTGAATCAAATAATGTGGCTGCAATCTACTGGAAAGGGTATTATTTACAAGAAGGTCATTATACTGATGAGAACAGAACTGAAGAACAAAAGAAACGTGATAAAGAAGAAGCCATGAAACTTTATAAAATTGCTGCTGATAGAAATCATCACGATGCACAATTAAGATATGCTCATTCATTACCAAGAGTAAAAGAGTATCGTGATGAATTTCTTAAATATCTAACATTAGCTGCTGATAATGGAAATGCCGTCGCTATGTATACTTTAGCCGATATGTATTTATATGGTAAAGTTATCGATAAAGATTTGGAAAAAGGTGAAAGATATTTAAAACTTTCTGCTGCTTGCAAAAATGATAGGGCTCTTGCAATGGCACAAAAATTGGGTATAAAAGCTTTCTAAATTAATTTTTTTTGCAATTATGCATTAGGTTATATATTTTTTAAATATTTTGGATATCTTTTATTTATTTTAAATTTTGATGGTTGTTTTTACTAATTTCTATAGATAAATTTATTAACGTGTTTTTCAATTTCCACCTATTGATGTTAAATGCAAATAAAGTAGTTCTTTTATTGTCATGTGCTTTTTATTCTTTTGTAATATTTATGGTTTCATAAGTTATAATTCCTAAGCAAGCCTTTGATCGAACACTTGAAACTTACAATAATCAAAGAGAAATAAGTAGTCTAAAAATGTTACAAATATTTATTGTTGCGGATCATAATGAAATTGAATTAAAATAAAATTTGGGTTTCTATTTATTCTTCTAAAACACACATACTTATAATTGTTGTCCGGAGCGAAGCGGAGGACTCAATTTCCATGCGGGGTGATACAAAAGTTACTTTTTTGATGCATCAATATATGACATATCAAAAAAGTAATTCCGTAT